TATGTCTTATAAAAAAATGCTATGATGGAAGAGTTTGAATCTTCTGTTTAAATTGATTTGCCAACTATTTGTGAGAAGTCAAAACATCTTTTTTTTTTTTTTAAATCAAATTTAATATTTCTAGAAGAACAGTGAACTGGAATTATTGGAGTTAGAGCGATTGAACCTTCAAAATAAATTGAACGAAACAAAACAAATTGAAATCGTTACTACTCAACTTACAAATCAAATTGCTGAGCTAAATAACGAAATATTGGAAGCTGAAAAACACTTTAAGGTACCTTTTTATTTTTAAGTTTTATCCGAATTTTTTTATTCAACCAATATAGAATTAATTAATTAATTACTTATTTTTGGCCTATTGACCAAGGTCATAATTTTGAAATATATACATTCCAGTTGAAAGATAAAATTCAAGTATAACTATTACGTTTGATATAAAAAAATCTAATTTTTGTTTTATACTTAGAGCAGAATCACAGCATTCCAAAGCATTTTTACAGCAATCAAGAATCTCTATTTTTTAATTATTATTATATTATACTTATATTTTACTTTATTATATTTACTATAAGGACTTTGCCTTACTCACAAGATAACCTTTATTTTTATTAGATTTTAATAAATAAATTCTAAAAAATATTATTATATATTTTTTACGAATGTCAACAAGTCAGTTTTGAAGTCTTTGGGCATACTCTGGGTTATCCCTTGCTTAAATCTTTAAAATGGGTAGTGAAGAGATAATGAAATAACTCAGTAGCTTGTTTACTAATGAAGCTTTTTTGACTAGATATTATTTATTTCTCTGAATAAATGATTAACAGCGCTTTGAAGAAGGTGCAGCTATATTGGTGAGATGAGTTTCGAAATCAATACGTTCGATAATTCAGAAACAAGGTTCACGGACCACAACCGAAGACCGCTTCAATAAAATTTGCCATAATAATGCAAAAAACAACAAGGTGATTAGTTTTTCTCTTGTCATTGACACCATCAATAGAGGTGTGTTAGTGTAAAGAAATTTGTTAAGCTTGTTTAATTCGTGACATTTTTTGTTGCATCTTTTTTGCAAATGGTTGATCGACATGGCTCTCTAATGATTTGATGAATTCTTGCTTCGCAAACACCAATGTTTATAGATTTGAACAATTCTTTCTGCTTGTTTTACTGTGTCTTGTTCAAATTGCTGACTCTTCTGTACCAATCAGGTTTTTGCCTTTTTCCTATTATTGTATTTTTATTGGTACCACTACACAACACGTTGTTCTCAAATCTTCCTTGATATTTCCTACGCGCCAGCTTTTCTAAAATTTATCAGTTGCAGTATAATTAATATAGAAAAACAAATAAGATTTCAATATTCCAAATAAAACTAGGTCTCGTGATAGTACCAGGGAGATTATTTGCATGCTGTTTATGAAAAAAAGTACAAATGTCCCAAATTTAACCTCATTTTATATAACAGTTTATTTAAATTGTTTTAATTCAGGTTTTTAAAATAATGCAATACACTGAGATGTGAAGCTTTAATAAAAAGGTTGTGTTTTATAAAAGTTGCATTTTTATACATTATAAATTGTGGTTGTGGTAGCTAAATTTTATTAACAAAAAATAATGATATTTTCTGATGTAAAAATCGTAAATACTTTGCTTATAAACAAAAAAGTATATATATATATATATATTTGAATAATGTAAAAATGAAAAAGTTTTAAATGCCGTAATTTAATACAATGCGCAATCAAGTACAAAAAAATTAAAAAATCTTTTTTCTCGGACGTAATAATGATATTTCAATTTTATCATTTTTTTGCTAATCTGCTAATCTGATTTTCATTTCTTTTTTTTTTTTTTTCTTTTTTTAACAAATTTTCTAGTTAATTAGTTTTTTTTTTATTAACCGCCAAATATAATTTGCTATTATATTTGTTTACTGCCGTTTTGAAATTAGGAATGCGAAGCCGAACATACTAAACAGATTGAAAACTATCGTGCATTAGTTCTTCAAGTTTTTAAGGTATTTTGAATAATTTTATATATAAAATATATTATTTAAATGCGTTTAACCGCTGCTAATATTTTCTTTACCGTTTTATATATTATTTTTATGAAAGTGTTTTTGTTCTTAGTGGGTGGTTTTTATTGTTTTTGAGGCTGTTATCGTCCATGCTGTCGGTTTTTTTATTTATTTTTTTGGCTGCATATATCGACTTTATTAGGGATTTTTTTATTATTAATAATGATTTTTTGATTAACTTTTTAGGGTGTTTTGGACCCCAAAATGGAAGAGGTTCTTTCAAAAATTGCGCTTTTAAGAAATTGTTAAATTTTTACGTTTTGTAAAGAAAAATATTATAGAGATCTCTCCGGTGTAAAGCGTTCTATCACGTTCGGAGTATTTTATATCTAACTAATTGATAGAAATTGTGCTACCAGAAACTTTAAATAAATATATATTTGTTGTAAACATAGACTGTTAATAGTGTTAGTAAACTTTTTTGTGTTTTCTTTTCTGCATTCTATGTATTATATTATTATTAATATATATATATATATATATATATATATATATATATATATATATATATATATATATATATATATATATATATATATATATATATATATATATATATATATATATATATATATTATATATATATATATATGACATTTACTATTTTTTTAAGGTACTTCAAGTATTTAGGCGGACTTCATTTAATAATGTCAGACCGTCTGATTTTAAATTTTTTTGCGAAAGTTAATTTATGCTTATAAAATTTAGAAGAGTGATTTGGATAAAGTTATAAAATTTAGAAGAGTGATTTGGATAAAGTAATTTTCTCCGAATTTCATGTCATTTTCGCTATTTGATCAACAATTAAATTTAAAATAATTACAAATGCAAAAAAAAAAAAAAATTAAACAAAAAACAAAACAAAATGAAGTATTCTAAATAAGTAAAGCATTATGATTAGTTCAAAATTTGTTACAAAACTACCAACAATCAACTTTTGGTAAACTTTAATTTGGCTTTAGCAAATCAGGCATCTAAATCAAAATTGGTTTAGATCTATGTTAACACTTTTAGGTTTACGTTATGCCAGATTACTTTTTTCAAATAGCAACCCTATAAAACATTTTTACTATGAAGTTCTAACTCCATAGAAAAAAGATTTAAAAGTCGGCTAAACCCTTATTAGAAACAAAAAACGAATTTTTAAAATCTTTAATTTTCTCAAAAGCGATTTTATTATTCCATCAGGTGAAGTTTTCAATATTTCTTAAAAAATTTTTTTCAATAAATAATAAAATTACTGTTCAATTTCAGGGCTTATTGCATATATATGCAGCTTCTTTGAAAACTACAAGTTAAGTTTATTAACTGTTAAGACTTTTAATAGAGCGTTCGATTTTATGAAAATACGTTCACAGACGTAATAACAAATATCTTCAAATAATAGAACTGAAAAGTTTATTATAATAATTATCTTCAACAGCAGAAAATTATATAAAAATTAAAATGCAAAATATTATTTTATAATTATATTTAGTGAAAATCGGAAAGACTTAGTCTTTAATAATTTTCTTATAACTTAAACTTATGTTCACTTCAAAGTTATAGTTAAACTGAGATTCGTTGAATGGTTTAGTAAGATCTTGAGCAATCAATAAGACTAACTAAAAACTTAAGTCGTTTAGAAAGATCCTGAGCAATCTCAAACATCTTCTGATTAGGTATAAAACTATTTTACGGGCAAATTAAATTTGTTTACAACAAAATATTGCAAAATTAAAAATTTATTTTTTAAATCTGCAGATATGAATAAAATAGACGTGCTGCTGTATAGATACGGCTTATATTAATAAGACAGCCATAATTGATCATCTGTAAAGCTTTAGACACAGGCAATCGTCAAATATTCTATCCAAACTCAAAAGTAAATTAGAATAGATTAAAATTTATTAGAACAGTGATGCATGTTCTAAAGGACAAGCAGGTCCATAAAATATGAAGGACTCTGACAACGTGCCCTACAATCACTTAATACATAATTTAGAAAAAATATATATATATATTACTATTATATCTAAGACCAAAAACTAGTTAGCCTGAACAGTATTTTTCAAAGTTGATAGAGTTAATTTTAATTTTGAAGCTCTTGATATAAGGACTCAGACAACATGCCCTACGATCACTTAATACATGTGCTAGATAATTTAGAAAAAATATATTATTATTATATTTAAGACCAAAAACTAGTTAGCCGGAACAGTTTTTTTCCAAGTTGATAAAGTTAATTTTAATTTTGAAGTTCTTGATATTTTTGGCATTAAAGACGTCAGACGGCAAGTTATTCCAAATATTGACAACTCTGAGTGAGAAAGTATTTACGGACATCGAGTTTACACTTTAGTTTGCGTATTTTTAATTTGTTAACTAGATTGTAAATATAGTTGTTTATTATTAAAGAAACTTTATTTATTTAGGCAAACCTAGGACAAGTATAAAGGACGTATAATTAGGTGGAAGTTTAACGCATTGTTATAAATCAAAGACCGCCAAATACTGAAAATTTATCCGGGTTGGAGTTTTTAGCGTCTTTTTTTGAAATAATTTTAGAAAATAAACCAACATTTAGTGGACATTTGCAAGCTTCTCTTAATAAACATTTAATACCCGTAAAACACTAACTTTTACGAAATTTAAATACATTTTTATGTAATTAAGAATGTCTCATGTGATAGTAAATATTTTAATTGATTTGAAAGCTTTGTTAAATAATAACGTAAAAAATAATATTTGTGTAAAAATACAATGTTTCATACTAAAATGAATATTGTAAAGTAAAAGAAATTTACTAGGTTTCGCTAATCTCTTAAAGATTTGAACTTTTCTTATTTGACGGAAATCAAATCATTTTTTGTCTCACAACTTTGTTTTGATATTTTTTGGTTTTTGAATATTTTTTACAAGTAGAGTTCTAGAAATATCATAATTTAAAAACTTGTTATATAGTTATACAGGAGTGATTTACAAAGGTATTCGAATATACAAAACTTTTTTTAACAAAATATATTAACCATATTCTTTTACATAATAAAGTTTTTTTTTATTAAATTGGGTAGATGAGACAGTCATTTCGATATATAGTCGTGTAAAAGTATTTCCACGTGACGCAAATGTTTCCTATTGTTTGGCCATTGTTATTAATAACAATTGCTTGCGCGCATGTCTTGGCTTTTAAACAACGAGTTAAACGTCCATCTATTAATACTTTCTTGGGCAAACTAAATAATGGTATAAAAAATTCTAACTTGTCCTGGTTTGAAAGTTATTCTTAGAAATTAAATCGAAAAGGAGGAAATGTCATAATTCTTATGGATCAAAGTCACAGAGGTTGCTAGCATAAATTCTTTCCAAGGTCTTTCTTTTCTAATAGTTACGGGCTGTCCATTAGTTACAACTTCACAGCGAAAGCCAATTATTTGTAATATTGTAATTGACGTTAAAGTAATATTGTTGACGGGCGTAACCCTCCCCCTTGTCAACTATTGTCAAAAAATTTCAGACTCCTTCCTTTCTCCCCCTATTTTGTTGACGTAATTAACAAACTGCCCTTTGGGTATACATTAGTAAACACCATTTACTATTACTTTAGAGTATCTAAGGGATTAGTCAAAGTTAAAATTTTTTTTTTTGAAAATTAAGTTTTTAATCCATAAAAATGTTTATAAATTTTCTGCAAAAGCAGTTACAAAATCCGTAAAAATAATAAATTCTGTAAACAATGTCGAGATGGTTACATAAACCGTATACTACTAGCAGTAAGCAAACCATAATACGCGTTGTTAGTAAAAAAAAAAAACGCGTATAGAAAAGCCTATAGACTACTTTAAAAAAAGCCTAGAAAATGACGTAACTCGACTAATAATAATAATATTAAATTAGCGTATTCATATTAGGGGTTGTCCATAAATTACGTCACGCTATAAGAGGGGGGGGGTTGTTGGTTTTGTGACGATTCATTCAAAACACGCTTCTTAAGTGTTACGATTTTGTGACAAGGAGGGGGGGTTGAAAACGGTCAAAAATTGCGTGACGTAATTTATGGACAACTCCTTATCAGATAAGTGCTGTTTACATAAAATGTATAGATATACCAAGGACGTATTAATAGATGGACGTTAAACGTATTGTTTAAAAGCGCTATTCATTGTTTTCATTGTATTCGCGCTATTCATTGTTACAAATAACAATGGCAAAACAATAGAGAACTATTTTTAACTTGAGAATATTTTTACTTGATTTTACGTCAAAATAACGATAGTCTCGTCTTGCCATAGAAATATTTAAACATTCCATTACACCTAAAAACTCTAAAAAGTTTTTAAATAAATAAAACCTTTTCAATATATAATCTATAAACTCAAGCGAAATCTTTACATGGAAAAAAAGTTAATCACAGAAAAATATTAAAACAAAATTGTAAGTGAGACAAAATTTCCGACAAAAATGAGAAATTAAATTACTTAAAATAATAGTGAAAACTAAGTGTAGGGAATAGAGACCACAAGTAATCTATAGTTCGATCTATATATGATCTACAGTTTTACCTACAACATCTAGATAATTCGTTTCACTTTGGAATATTCATTCTTGCAAACTAAATATCACTTTTTTACAAAAATATGATTTTTGACGTCTAAGTTTTATTAATAATAAGTTCTTATTTAAAAACCGCTCAAGTATTAAATTTGACATTTTAAAACAGATAAGCTATTTCTGTATAACTATTATGCATTAATTTTTTTAAAAAGTTAGAGTTTTGTAGGTAATTATACTTTTTAAAAAGTAGTTAGAAAAGCGAAATTATCGGAAAAACGTCGGTTTACTTTTATAAATTATTCAGAAAAATGACGCTAAAAATTATAGGTTGCATAGGTTTTTGTTTACTTGCGGCGCCTCAGATCTATAACAATGGGTTAAACGTCCATCTATTAATACGTCCTTGCATATATATACTTATAGTAGTGATTCCCGAGCGCAACAAAAAACATTTGATTTTTTACAAAAAACACGTAGTTTTCATAAACTTTACTCATATCTTTTTTATAATAAAGCTAGAACCTCAATTATCAAGCATCAATAAGTTTAACTCAACTTCTTTCAAACTATATTTTGAAATTACAATGTTTAATATGGTTTTTATCATATTTTCATTAAAAAAAAAAAAAATTTTATGAGAATTTTTTTTTTTTTTAAAAGTAGTTTTTGAAGGTAAGATTTTCTAAGCACCAAAACACATTGAATTTGTTTGAAAATTTACATATAGAGTAAAAAAAGAATACGGAATCTAATGGAATGAGGAACCTTTTAAAAATTTATACATAATTTCTAAGTTCTTAACATTAAGAAACATTGAAGCCGTTTTAATTAAAAATTAATACTTTTTCTAAAAAGATTCTTTGTGAAAAAAGCAAGTGTAGCCTTTC